AAAAAAAAACTTGCTATGTGTACTGCGTTAAGCTAACTGAGACTTGTTGTAGCACTTGCATATCATTGCTCTTTTGTTGATTTTGATTGCTTCCATTGTCCTCATTTGTTAGTCTAAATGACTAAATGTAAATAGTATTTGTAGATTTCCATGGTTACCACTACAGTAAACATATTTTAAGCGTGTAAACAAAAATATAACCGAATAAGTTGCAATTAAGGCATATTGAATGTTAAAATGTGTTTCAAATATAAAGTTAATGGATATCATTTACCCATTTTACTCTTAGTAATTTAATAATCTAATACATTTAATAATTTAAAAGTTCAGTTTAGAAGTATTGTATCGGTATCGTATCGAAAACAAAATAAGTGGTATCGCCCATCCCTAAACTCCTGTTTACTCTGATACTGAAGCCTGATTTGTTCACGTTTGTGTAACCGCATGAACCAGGGGCAAGTTCAAGCTCAAACCGGTGTGCACCGTTTTGCTACGGTTTCCGGTTTGAACGACATGTTTCCTGGAAGCGGTGTGCAACGCTGTGCAACGGGGTTTGAGATGCGTTTTCTCTTGTTTGGTGGGTGTGTCAAACATGTCAGCCCAATCAGCAGCAACATGTATGTAAACCACGCGGTATTAAAGAGACAGCTGGCACAATGTAATTAACATCCAAATAAATTCACAAGAGCAAGAATATTGTTTGCACATGTTTATTTACATTAAAGGCAAAATAACTGAAATAATAAGGGCACAAGTATAGATCTGGAACTTCTTTAAGTCTGTCTAAATATCATTTAGTAATTGCAATGTCTTCTGGTCCATATCCTTTCCTTAGGAAGGTGTGCTAGACACTGATTAATGTAACATAAAAATACTATACATATTTATATATTTTGCTATTGTATTATGGAGTGACACTTTCATAAACTTTTCTATACCCCTCTGATTATATAATGGTAAATATTACAATATCATAGCACAACAACAGCGATCAGCAATAATGATAAGCCTAATACTCACAATAAAAATAATAAGGTCATACAGATCATAACACAGTCTCGGAGGTAAGAAGTGGATGATCCTTCACCTGAAATGTTTGTCTTTTTATCCTGAAATGCGAGGCAAATGTTGGATCACAATAATTAGGAACCACAGTTTCCACAAATCCCTTCATTTGATTAGGATGTTCTCTTTTATTCTGGACGGCAAGGGCAGTGACTGTAACATCGAGCGTATTTTGCAGTACGCTCGAAGTATAAAGTACTCAATCAATTTATACTTAAGTACAGTAAAATTGCTCAAATTTGTTATAAATAGTCAATTTATAATAAACCCAGAAGCAAGACTAGGGAGTTGAAATGGCAACTGAGCTAATGAGTGATACTCTGCTGCCATCTACTTGTTATAATGCTAATTTCACGTCATTTTCATCTTAAAGGAGTAGTTCATTTGCAGAATGACAATTCTGTCATCATTTACTCACCCTTTACTTGTTCCAAACCTGTATGAGTTTCTAACTTCTGTTGAACACGAAAGAAGATATTTTGAAAAATGTTAGTATCCGAACAGTTGATGGGCACCATTGACTTCCATAGTATTTTTTCCCCAAACTATTTTACATAGTCAAAAGGGTGTTTTGACTGCAGTTTCAGTAACTTCTTAAACTCTAGACTTGTGTTTGCTTTTAATGTATTGAAACTATTTCTCACTTACAGTTTCAAGTATCTTCTAATCAATACTAATGGGACTCTTGTTAATTCGTCGAACTGGTCTGTCAACATTACTCTTCCCAAATGTAAGAATTCATATCAAATCATTAGAATTATTGCTAAGTAATATTGGAGTCATCCTAATAGCTGTTGGAGTTAATAGATATCTTAATAATCTATTCGTACAGTACTAAACCTTCACACCATTAATGATGGTCTGAGTGCGAGATCTGGTGCCATGGTTGTTATTACTACCATCCTATGTGTGGCTGCGGCTCTGCTTTTACTTCTTTTCCTCATCATGTTATGCATAGTGCTAAATACTGATTAATGTAACATAAAAATACTATACATATTTATATATTTTGCTGTTGTATTATGGAGTGACACTTTCATAAACTTTTCTATATTTCTCTGATTATATAATGGTAAATATTACAATATCATAGCACAACAAGAGTGATCAGCAATAATGATAAGCCTAATACTCACAATAAAAATAATAAGGTCATATAGATCATAACACAGTCTTGGAGGTAAGAAGTGGATTATCCTTAACTTGTCTTTTCTGTCTTTTCATCCTGAAATGCGAGGCAAATGTTGGATCACAATAATTAGGAACCACAGTTCCCTTCACTCGGGCAAGGGCAGTGACTGTACCATCGAGCGTATTTTGCAGTATTAAACACGTATTTATACCGATTTCATCAGGCTCCGAAAATTCTTCAAAAAGAACACAAAGAATGGCCTTCTCAGCTGCCATAGTTGCAACTCTTGCGTCATCAGAACAGGGTGTTCAACGCACCACCGTTTCCGTTTAAAAAACGTTTTGCACCGTTTTTGTCGGGGCTGAACGCAGCCCAGATCTATCTATCTTCTGCTGCTGTACGTATCGGCGCTTCTTCTCACGTGGCGAGCAGCAGCAGGGTTGCCAGGTTTTCACAAGAAACCCCGCCCAATCACTACTCAAAACTAGTCCAATCGTGTTTCGAGCAAGCGGCAACCTTCCGGTCTCTCTCGTGAAACCAACACGGAAGTGACTAAAACTGCAATTCATCGACTGGCCGCTAGAGGCTGGCTCCAAAAGGGAGTCAGTCCCATAGACTCCCCATGTTAAAATGGCCAACTTTAGAGCAGAAACCAGCAACCAGCTCCCGCCTCTTTGCCCATTTTAGATTATCCGGGAGTGACGAGCTGCCAAGATGGCGACGGCTGGCTCTGCCCACTTTGAGCTTCAAAAACGCTCTTCAGAAACCTACGGGTGACGTCACGGACACTACATCCATGTTTTTATACAGTCTATGGTTTCGAGGGGGTCCCCAGTTAAAAATCATTCCGGGGGTAAAATACACATTTTTTGGTGGGGTTCCCCTGCTAAAATTTGCATTCCAGGGGATAAATATCATGTTATTGGAGTCGCTTTAACCCACGGACATGAAAAACAACCCATGGCAACAGTGTTAAAGTAGCCCAATTCCACGGGAAAACCGCAATAACATGATATTTATCCCCTGGAATGCGAATTTTAGCAGGGGAACCCTGCCAAAAAACGTGTATTTTACCATGCTACACTAGTAGCACTAGTGTTTTGCTACACGAACAATAGTTTAACCATGGTTTTTGTAATAAAACCTAGGTTACGTTAGTAACCGGAGCGTTTCTCTCTTTCTTCGTGGGACCATTTATAGCTCCAGTCCGGTGTTGCACAAATAATACATAATAAAAGACCCAATTTATTATAATCATGCAGTTTGTGCAGTTGCACCATTTTTTATTATTTTTTAATAAACGCTTACCTACAAATCGACATCACTTCTTGAACACGTCCACAGAAGCAGCTGGCATCTTTCCCTATCTTACACATTTATTTATTTATTTGAATCTGTTTCTATCTAGTATTATTATTATTTTAAAGTTGGCTACTTATTAAATAAGATTAAAATTTGATTTGTTTTGCTATTTGTTATATTTCTTTTGTATTCCCTTGTTTTACATGTTTGTATGGTCTGAGTTCTACCATATAAGGACATTTTTTAAAGTGGGCAGTGTCTGAGCCCTGCCTTTGATAGCCTAGCTACTGGCTTCATTAGTTGTCTTTTTTCCCATTTCTTCACAGATCACCATGGACAAAGTTGCACTGACACTAACTCTCTTTGGCCTTCTCTTCACCTGTGTCAACTTGGCTGCTAAAAACAAGGTAAAATCAACATTCAGAAACAAAAAGTACAAATGTACTTTATTTCTCAATTTTCTTAAATCTTCAAGTTGTTATTCGGCCTTCTCTTCACCTGTGTCAACTTGGCTGCTAAAAACAAGGTAACATCAACATTCAGAAACAAAAAGTACAAATGTACTTTATTTCTCAATTTTCTTAAATCTTCAAGTTGTTATTCATCACTAGTGTTTATTAAATAGTCAGTTAAGATAGAAAATGGAACAAAACAAAATTAATACTGTCATCATTGTTTAAAAATAACTTCCATCATTTAATTTTATTTTTAATATCTCTGTTAAAATAAAAATATCTGTTTATTAGTAATGGCAAAGGTAGGCTCAAAATACCATGTAAATAACTGATAATGTTTGAGGAGAAAGTCCATATTACTATTTGTTTTCAAAGGACGCTTGACATTATGTGTGTATTGGACCTGAACAAGCTCTGTCCTAAGAGCCTGTCGTAAGAGCACATATTGACAGTGATACTTGTTCACTTTAATACAGAAACAAGATATAGATATTTACAGCTTCCACATTAACTCTACGGTCACCAGCCGCTACGCTACTACAGTCATCACAAGCCGTGTGGCAAACCTGTTGAATCAGTCTCAAGAGGTCCATTTTGAGGTCAAGATTCCCAAGGATGCCTTCATCAGCCAGTTTAGAATGCAAGTAAATACACAAACACTATCCAAGGAATTTAAATGTTCAAGTGATTGTAAAACTAACAGCCAGTCTTATCTAATTTAAATTTAACTATTAACAATAAAAAGAAAAAACTTTTTAGTACATTAATTTTAACTGCCCCCCATTCTGTCTAATAACCTCAGTTCCTGATTTTATTTAGCTAATAATAACAATCCTTTTCAGGACCATAGAGGGAAAGACATATGATGGGGTTGTGAAGGAAAAAGAAGAAGCTCAGCAGCAATACAATCAAGCAGTATCTCGAGGACAAAGTGCTGGACTGGTCAGGTACTTTGTATTATAAAAAGATTATTCCCATAGCTCAAATAGTAGAGCATGGCGCTAGCAACACCAAGGTCATGGGTTTGCATGAACTAATTAAAATAAATTTACTTTAAATACAGTGTAAGTCATTTTGGATAAAAGCGTCTGGCAAATGCGACTGGTTTTGTATATAATTGTTAATGTTAAGATATTTGTTTCTTTAGTATTAAATAAGAGTTCAATAAAATATATTTATTTCAGTATTATTAAATATAATGGTCTCTATTTCTATTTTAGTGCTGTTGGAAGGACTTTAGAGGACTTTAAAACTTCAGTGACGGTGGCTGCTTTTAGTAAAGTGACCTTTGAGTTGACCTACGAGGAACTGCTAAAGCGCCGCCTCGGCAAATATGAGCTACTCATCAATGCCCAACCGATGCAGCCGGTGGCTGACTTCAAGGTATGAAAAGAAACAAAATCAAGATTTATAGATGTTCATCATAATGGAAAAAGACAAAGAAATGTAAAATTTCTGACTTTTATTTTGGTTAGATTGACGTACACATCCATGAGAATATAGGAATTTCATTCTTGGAGGTCAAAGGTGGTCTGAGCACTAAGGATTTGACCAATGCCATCACAACCATCAGAGCAGATAAAGATGTAAGAAAATAAAAATGGAAATTGATGACAAAAAACAAGCAACTTCTTGCTTGAATATGTTAATATGATGGAATATATTTTGACAACTTCTTCTGTTTTGCAAATTTAGGCATGGGTGAAGTTCTACCCCACTCGTGACCAGCAAACAAAGTGTGATGACTGTAGTAAAAATGGTCTGAATGGCAACCTGATCATTATGTATGATGTTGAGAGACAAAAACAAAGTGGAGATCTGAGGGTATGTAGTGCACTTAGGTATTTAAATTTAAACCGGCAGGAAGACAAATGTAATGACAACCAGAACGTGTTCACTGACAGCAGTTTAAAGCAACAAAGCGACATGAATCATTCATTTTCAGTTAGAGTGTAGGAACTCAGTCCTACATCTCAAATATTCTTATTTTTTTCAGGTATCAAATGGCTACTTCGTCCACTACTTTGCACCTACAGATATTCAGCGCATTCCCAAAAATGTGGTGTTTATCATTGATCGAAGTGGCTCTATGTCAGGCAAAAAAATAGAGCAGGTGAATTTATTTTTCATTTGTTTCTTCTTTGGGTTTTACTGGGTGAATTGTTGAATCTTAAGAATAATACAGAAGAAATTATAATTCATCATATATTTATGGTTTTCCTTAGTTTTAGCTAATGAAAGCATTGTATTTTAGACTCGTTTGGCAATGCTGAGGATTTTGAGTGACCTTGCTGTGGATGACCACTTTGGATTGATCACGTTCAGTGGTCACATTCAAACCTGGAAACCTGAACTCCTAAAAGCAACTGAAGGACACGTGGAAGAAGCGAAGATGTTTGTGAAGAGGATTACGAGTGGAGGATGTAAAGTATCCACCATCTGCTAACTGACCAAAAGCATTCTAGATGAATAAATGTATGAATGAGAAAAAAATACCCTCAGGAGAAAATGATGGCCTAACTGACACCATACAGAAAACATATGATCTCCATGTTTTCAGTAGTTGAATAGCCTGATCGTGGACTGTGAAACAATTGAAAACAATCAAATTCATCCTCGACTTCCACCCTTATTTCACTAAATTACATTTATTTGTAACATTTATTTTTTCTTTCCTTTCAGCCACAGACATAAATACTGCAGTGCTAAAAGCTGTGGACATGATAAACAAATACCCACAAGAGGGATCCGCATCTATCCTGATCCTGTTGACTGATGGAGACCCCACTACAGGCACAAAATAACCGATTCACTCCTGCATGCACTCTTGTATATGTACATAAATATTGCACAGTCATGGCCAAAATTATTGGCAGTGACATACATTTTCGCAAAGTGTGCTGCTTCAGATGTTCAGATGTGCATTTTCCAGCATGATACTGTAGATTACCATTACACAAGGCAAGAGTGATAATGAAGTGTTTCAGAGATCATTACATTGAAATTTTGGATCCGTGGCTAGGCAACTCCCCATATCTTAATTCCATAGAGAACCTGTGGTCAGTCCTCAAAAGGTGAGTGGACAAGCAGAAGCCCAAAAATTATAATCAACTCTGAAAATTAGTTAGTCAAGAACGGATCACCATTGGTCAAGACTTGGCCCAGAAACTGATATCCAGCATGCCAGAGCGAATTGCAGAGGTTATGAAGAACACTGTATATTGGCCCTTTGCATATATTGAATGTTTTTGCCAATAAAAGCCTTTAAAAATTATGAAATGCTTATCACTGTTTTCCAGTATACCATAAAAACACGTGAAAAAATTATCTACATATACTGAAGCAAATACTTTGCGAAACACTAAATTTGTCACTGCCAATACTTTTGGTCATGACTGTATATGTAATGACCCACTACACTAAAATATTATGGAGTATACATTTTAGCTGTAAAACGTCCCATTTTTCTCCATTGCCATGCATAAAATACCTCTTGATTGTTTCTTTTTTTCCGCAAAAAAGGCGAGACTAACCCATTGAAGATTCAGGAAAATGTGAAAAAGGCGATTGGTGAAAAATTCCCTTTGTACAGTTTGGGATTTGGGTTTGATGTCAGCTTTGAGTTCCTGAAGAAGTTGTCGTTGGAAAATAACGGTGTTGGTCGCATTATCTATGAGGATTCTGATGCTGATCTACAGCTGCAGGTCAAATATAAACAAAGAAATCTTTCGGGGATAGTGACCCGGGTTTGAGTCAGGCTTGGGTCATTTTCCAGTGTGCCATGTGCTGTTCCCAGAACTAAACATATACATATGTTAAATTATTATTTTATACGTCCTTGTATTTGCACAATTTTATTAGGACTTCTACGAGGAAGTGGCCATCCCGCTCTTGACTGATGTCCACCTTAACTACCAAGGGGTGGCCAATTTAACCCAATCCACTTTCAACCAGTACTACAATGGTTCTGAGATTGTGGTAGCTGGTCAGATCACTGATAACAGTTTGGAAAGTTTCACCACTGAGGTCATTGCAATATCGGTAAGATCACCACTACCCCTTATAGACTAACATTTAAAGGGAATAGTTCATCCAAAAATTCTGTAGTTATTTACACATCCTTATGTCATTCCAGCTCGTAAGCTCTTATAAGATAGCTTTTGTTTAGGTTGTTATTCATGATGTGAATATTCTTCGAAATTCTCTTTTTGTGTTCAGTGGGGAAAAAAAACATCATACAGGTTTGGAATGACTTAATGGTCAGTAAATAATGACAGGAATTGTCATTTTTTTGGGGTGCATTATACTTTTTTAAATCTCTAGAGTTGCTTGACCCACTAGGCCAGCCAGGTTTGAGCTTCTGACCATTATTTTCTTTCCAGAAAAGCACTAAGGTGGTATATCATAGCAGTGTACTTACAGGGGACCTCAGTAGTGACAGACCTGAACACGAGAACTTCATTAAAAGATTATGGGCCTTTCTTACAGTGAAGCAGCTATTGGAGAAAATGTAAATATTCATACTTTTAAGTTAACTGATTCAACTCTATGTATGTCATACGTAGTAGTATTACAGAATTTTCATGTAGATTTTTTTTCTTCTGTACCTCAGGGTGCTTCTAAAAGACCTGGAAAAAGAAAACGCAAAGAAAGAAGCCCTTGATCTTTCTCTGGAGTACAAATTTGTCACACCGCTTACATCGATGGTGGTCACCAAGCCCCAGGATGAGGAAATACAGGTTGCCCACAAACCCAAAGAGGGAGAAAAACCAAATAGGCATTCATCAGGAAGTACTAAAATATGTAAGATGAAATAAAGAAAAAGAGCTGTTGGATATATATATATACATATATATATATATATATATATATATATATATTTTTTTTTTTAATCAGAATAATCTTTACGCCATTATATTTTGCTAATGAGCATTATTTCTCCTGTCTAGCAAGAAGACAAAAGGCCTTGTTCAAACGCGTAATGTCTCCAGGTCCACAGCTTTTCACTTTAAAAAACAACAACAACAAAAAGAACAAACAAACTTATTTTGTTAAAATTGTACATTTATGTAAGATGTATTTGCCACACAAATCACTTGCTATGTAACTTTAAAAGTTTAGGGTCAGCAAGATTTTTTTTTTTTATAAATAGTCAGCGAGGACACATGAAATTGAGCAAATTGAGTAAATTACATTTAAAAATATATCACAACAGAAAATTGTTATTTTAAACTATAGTAATATTTCATATTTCACAGTATTACTGTTTTTACTGTATTTCCAATCGAATAAATGCAGCCTTGGTGAGCAGAAAGACTTCTTTTGAAAATATATAAAAATGGAAATTTATGGAAAGCAACACAAAATATGCTTTTATAATTAGCCAAGCTATGCTTTCATTTGTTGGAAAGTAATTTGTGTCTAATGTAACTTTTCCACACTGCAGGTCATGCGCTTCTTTCTACCAGTGGTGTAGGGCCATACGGTACTGTACATCGCTTCCTTTTCTGTTACTTCAATTCATGTAAATCCCTACTCAGTCAGACTTATTTCTAATTCTTTTTACTTTTATCATAGACTCCCAGATCCTAGTGAGACAAAGACCCTCTCTACGGCATCTTAACATGAACGGTGTAGGTGTGTGTATTCTAATATGTTAATGAGAATTAAATAAATGATTATAGCTGCTTTACTGTTTTGTTTTTTAAGAGTTCAGTTTTTAATAACTTCAGTGATGATGGTACAACTTCACATCGCTCCGTGTGTGTGTGTGTGTGTGTGTT